CCATATCTTCTTTTATACGAAATAGGGAAGTGTATTTACCTGGTGATCAAAAGCTGGACCCTTGTTTTGACTTTGAAGTTGAACAGATTGATGATAAGACGTTTTCCATACATTAAACTATTCTGGCAGGCCGCTGTCTAGTTCGGTATGTGTACTGCTTTTATTTTTGTCGTTATAGTAGTTCATTCATATTGTTAGTGTTAGTCATGTTTTCTTCCTCTCTTTTTTACGGCACTTGAATATTATATTCTACTATCTTAGGAAGAAAGCGAAATATGGAATATGCCAATCAAAGTCACAACTACAGATACTCTTTTTAATAATATCATTCAAAGGGTTTAGGTGGGAAACAAGATCATTTGATTGATAGATCAGACGATATCATGGATATTGGGGTGTGTATCATTTCACAAGAGATGTTTTTACGTATATGACTCGCTACGTAGTCGAAAGCACAAAAAATGTTATTCAAAAGGTGGCAGAGGCATATGCTGTGTTGATCCCCCTATTTCTAGTTAGCATTGAATTTTAACCAAAGAAGTGACATTGTAGTACAAAATGGTCTGCACATGGGAAAGGAGTTGACTGATCCTTTTGAGATTGAACTGATTACAAATCTGCCAACACAGCAAAATTCGTAAGAATAGTTACTTTTTTTTTTACTTTGTTTTCCTCATTTATATTAACATTTTTCACTACTAATCGATTTTTATATTCTATTCATTTGTTTTATTTCAAAGATTGTGGAGTATATATTGCATACTTTGCTGAGTATATTATTGAAGATCTTCCAATCCCTGTTGCCAATTTTTATGTGGATGGTCTTCGAGCTAGGTTTGGTATACTATTGTGGCACTATGGGAGGAACAAGCAGTTGCATGGCGAATCAAGTGAATCTGAGGCTCCAGTAGCACCAAAAAAGACTCGTGGAAAGAAACCCAAGAAGTAGTATAGGTCTCTTTTTGGTTTTAGTTAATCGTAGCATGAAAACTTTGTAGGATTTTAATAGTTTTTGGAGAAGTATGGTATTTCGCATTATTATTGTAAAAATGCTAGCTTTTATAAGTGTTTTCTAGGAATACAATTTTAATAGTACAATATGTTGCTATAACTGTTTTAATGTTGGAATCTATCTTCAGTTTGTTTTATTAGGCTTTTCTTAGGCTTCTTCCATAAAGTTGTAGGTTTATTAGGAGTGCCTTTCGGAGATAGAATTTTGTCAGCACTTGAAGTCAAGCCATTAGTGTAGAACATGGCTGTTACAGCAACACTGTTAGTTCCTACTCCTACTGCCATTTGTAGTAGGAGGAGCATTGTTAGTTCATTGTAATACACCAGCAGAAGTTATTTTTGGAGGTGTATTTTTAAGGGAGTTACGACGTTCAAAAAGAGGAACTATGCTGTTATTTTGTTGAAGAACAGGGCGAGCATTGATTTGAATGAGAAGAAATATTTTTAGAAAGTGAACTAGTTTTGAAATTATATTGAGAGTAGTTGTTAGTTGTAGTTGAATCTAAGAAAATCTGTGCATAATTTGCATTGCTGCACCAGTTGTATTCTGCAAAGATTTTGGTTCAGGTATATTAGTGCAGTAGAATTATATACCAATCAGGTATACTGATATACCATTTGGGTATCACGTTGTATTTGAGTACCTTCTTCCCGCAGCAACTAGATGTAAGTACTGACATGAGTTGCAAAGTGTGCCAATTTTGTTGAGGAAGTATTTACAAATGTTGCATTTTTTGGTGCACCATTTGTATTTCTGCACATATTATGGTTTAGCCATATTAGTGCAATACAAGTATATACTAACAAGGTATACAAACATACCATTTGGGTATCAACTTGTATTTAAGTACTTGATGATGTACAATAACTGCATGTAAATGGCTTCCAATTTGTTATACTTCAATACTGACATGAGCTGCAAAGCGTGCCCATTTTGTTAACGATGTATGTACAAATATTGCATTTGGGGTACCACTTCTATTTCTATACATATTTTGATACCAATAAGGTATACAGATATACCACTTGGGTATCACATTTATATTTTAGCATCTTTTTCCTGCAGCAACTAGATGTAAATGCATCTCACTTTTATATACTAAAATAGAAAATAAACAGATTCTTATTGAATACACAAGTAGCCATATAAATTTTTTGCCAAAAAATAATTTGGCAAAGAATCATCATACCAAATATATGTCTAGTGCAAGACATGCATTTTATTTATTTGCAATTCAAATGATATGATTCTACGATATATGAGTTCTATAAAAACATTGAGCATTATATCAATCTCTCTTTCGAATATTTCGGCATGTTCTCTAGTTGTGTCCTTTTCTCCCGTATAGTGCACATGTAACTGTATTTCCTTCCCAGCCTCCTATGCCTTTCTTCTTTTTAGGTCTTCCTGGTTTGATTCTTCGTTTTGGTGGTAGTACCACCTGCGAAGAGACATGTTCTGGAATTTGCCACGTTGTTTCATCAGGCAAAGGATTTACTGGTATCTCATATGTTTTCAGCAAGTAGTCTATGCTATAGTAATCCGAGCAATACTTGTATGAATCCATATGGAATTTTTGTATAACTGCCATTGCATGTGGACATGGAATATCGTCTAGCTGAAACCTCCCACAAGTGCAATTTTTTCATGTAGGCGCACCACATTTCTCGTTTGGCCATCAATTATTAAATGTAAGAATTGATTTGATGACAACACCTAATATAATTTTTATTTAACAAAAGACATTAGCTATATGAAGTAATAGTATTTTTTTAATAACAATATTAAGTTGTTTAGTGAAATCACTAAGGTACAAAAGTAAAACTACAGTACATGCAATATTTTTATGATTCTGAAAATGCATACCGTCATCGTCTGTGATAAGATAGTATTATCTGCCAATATTTTTTCATACTTTGCACCAATCTTCATAAATGATTCCACTGCATCCTTCCGATTGGTGTAATTCCATTTCTGAATCAATATTGTCATAAAGTCAAGAAAGTTCACAACTGGGAGGTCTCTTGCGTGCTTGTTTGATGCATTTACTGATTTTGCAATATTCGATGTCATGGTCATGGTTCTATTTGCCTTGGAATGCGCCCGGGACCATTTATCATATCCAATATCCATCAGGTATATTTTCACTCTACTATCAATAGCTTCTAACTCTGCCATATGCATGTTGAATTCTTCAACAGTGTATGCTCTTGCTAACGCAAAGTATACTTCTTTGATTTGTTTTTGGCTCTTCCTGAAGTTTGTCTTTATGTTGTTCCACAGATGGAACATACATGCACAATGAGGTACTTCTGTATAGACAATTGAAGTTGCTCTCCATATACCATCATGCCTGTCTGATACAATGCACATTCCCTCTCTTTGTCCATAGGTTTCTCTGAATTGCATGAAGAACCACTCCCACGATGCATTGTTTTTTGAATCAACAATTGCATATGCGAGGGGTAAAATTTATCCTGTAAACCCAAAAAAAAAAAAAATATCAATTACAACACACAATATTAATTTAGCATTTCATATAGTAGTATAGTCATAGGTAGGTGCAGGTATGTAGCAAAATAATTATATACTCTGTTGGTATACTTGTATACCATACTAGTATCATATAATATTTGAAAATCTTTTTTGTTTCTTTAATTGAATGTAATTGGATTGTATTTTTAAAATAATAAAGTAAATTATTCAATACTGATTCTCAGACAACTTTTTTCCTTACCCTCTGCGTCTTGCGTGGAAGCCGTGAGTATGGTCCCTCTATATGTTGACTTTAAAAAACTTGCATCAACTACAACTGTCGGCCTACAATAGATCCATCCTCTAATCTATGCATATATAGCTATGAATGCATACAAGAAGCTCCCATCTCCTTCAGTGTGTAGTCGTGTCACTGATTCTGGGTTAGCGTACTCTAACATATAAAGATATGTTGGTATTTTCTTGTATGACTCACTTGGTGTTCCTCTCAACAATTGCATTGCTTTTTCTTTTGATCTCCATGCTTGCATGTAGCTTAAGTCCATACCATATGCTTTTTGGATGTCTCTCTGGATATCTATTGGTGTATATATGATTTTCGGGTCAACAAGTTTATCTTGTACCACATCTGCAACAAAAGCTGAGATAGCTTGCTTTTGTGAACAAAATCTCTATCATTTAAACATTATGAGAGAATTGAAAATCCGTCAACTTTCGAAAAAGGATTTGATGCTCGCAGGCTTGATGCTTTAAGTCTCCAAGTGCATCTTTCATCCACGCATTCAAGGGTATACCTGTTTATAATACAAATACAATTATGTATCATGTTTTATTGATAAAAGACACACACAAAAAGCCGTACAATTATATACTCACATAGTATACTCATATAGCATACCTATATACTATATCAGTATCATATTTTGCTGATAAAAAACATAGACAAACCAGCACAATTCTATACTCACATAGTATACTGATTTAGCATACATATATACTATATTGGTATTATATTTTACTAATAATAACAAACACAAACCAGTACAATTATATACTCGCATATTATACTGATATAGCATACTTATATACTATACCAGTATCACTAATAAAAAATACAGACAAACCAATACAATTCTATACTCTCATAGTATACTGATTTAGCATACTTATATACTATATAGCTATCACATAGTTTTTTACTTGAAAAAATGCAGACGAACCTTCTTGGGCATGATTTATTAACCCGATATTGACATTTTTCTCTAGTGACATACTGTTTCATAACGAGAGCCAGCAGGTTCTTGTCTTTTTTAAATTTGTCCTTTTTCAACTTTTTGATGAAATTGATCAGTTATGATGTTTACATCATCAAGTTCTATACTGGTGTCATCTCCTTCTTGCACATCAAACGTACTAATTATATCGGTGCTTTCAATTGTGCAATTTCTGATGAAATTGTAGCAACATCGAAACTGGAGGTGCTTGCAGCTATAGTATTTTTAGCAAACGACACACACAGTGGAAGTGTTGTCATCCCTGCACTTGATTTTTTCAATTCCATGTAAACACTAACACTCATATCGCTGCAAATTGTAATTGGTGGATATCCTTGAGCAACACCATGCTGAATATCTATTGTGTTACTGTCCTTTTGCAGTTGCTTTGCAATTTCTCCGAGAAGTTGTTCAAATTTCCAACAGGTCTTTATTAGAATTGCATCAACATGAAAGTTTATGAAATTATGGTTATCATCCCATTCTCCACTATGCTGCAGCAGAATTGGTATATTTTCCACGATTCTGAAGTTATAACTACTTTTATGTCCGAAATTGAATCTCAACAATGTAAATTTCAATAGTTTTGATGTCAAATATTGAATTTCAACAAAAGATTTTTTGAAAATCAAATCAGTTGTTATGATTCAAACCTCTAGATCTCCAGATCTCCAAACCGAGAATAGAATTTTCAGCTAAAATTCAGAAGTTTGAGCGCTAGACTTTTGTAATGCTTATAATTTTTGACATTCTGCTCTGCCAGCGAAATCAAAATCGGAAAAATAAGATGCGAGTTTGAGCATCAAAAGTCTTAGCATCTTCCAAAGTCAAATCAGCTACTTCTACAAAATTAAGTAGAAAAACTACGAATTAGTA